CTAAACCCTAAACCCAAACCTTATTCTAATTATTAAGGCTTCGGGCTCCGGGGGTCTCCCGGTTTTAGGGGTGAAGACTTGGAGGCTTCGGGCTTTTTTCCCGCGCTGTGGCCAGTGTTTAGGGTTTAGGGTTTAGGGTTTAGGGTGTAGGGTTTAGGGTTTAGGGTTTAGGGTTTAGGGTTTAGGGTTTAGGGTTTAGGGTGTAGGGTGTGGGGTTTAGGGTTCAGGGCCAGTTTGGGCTTGTGGGGAGATCCTAGGGCTTTCGAGCTGTAGGGCTTAAGGGATTGGGGCTGTAGGGTTTATAGGGTTTAGGGTTTAGGATTTGAGGGGTTTAGGATTTAGGGTTTAGGGTTTAAGGGTTTAGGGTTTTGGGTATAGGGGGTTTAAGACTTCAGGTTGAGGGAAACTGCGATTGATCTTCTTTCAGGAACTCGAAGGCAAGGTCCGACCTGCCAAGTTCTCGTAACCGCCGGCGGCCCCATGATCTCATCAGCCCCAGAGGGGCTAACAATATCCCAACCGTAAAGTGCACTTACTCAGCTACTCAGTGCTGTAGAAGCATCCGAGGATGCTCAAAACCCCCCAAACGGTGAAAACCCTAAACCCTAAACCCCTAAACCCTAAACCCTAAACCGCCCAAACAGTGAAAACCCGAGCTCAGAAGCTCTCAGGAGTCTTCTGCCGCTTGCCCACGAAATCTTCGGGGCTGAGTACCCTAGCCCAAAAAAAGGTTAACCTTTTCAATTATAGTACCTGAAGAACCCAAAACCCACCTTTTTGTAGGTTCTTATTATAAACCCTAATATGGGATTTATAGGGGCCCTACAAAAAAGTAGGTTTTGGGTTCTTAAGGTAGGATTATAAGAGCCCCAAAAGGTTAAAGGTTATCTACTCAGCCCCTAAGAAATCTTGACTTCGGACTCGCAATGCCCCGCAACGCGAACCTTCCTGCAACCTGGCCCTGCAAATCAAAGGGTGTGCTCTTACTTTCGGCCTTTCAGCACAAACCCTTTATATGTAACCCTTATCTACAACAAACCAAGCCAGAATCCAAAATCCTAAGCCCTACAAGCCGAACAACAAAGCCCTGCAAAACGAACCGCTAAACCTACAGGAAAACCACAAGCACTGAAAAGCTCTAAAATTCAACCACCCCAATCCCGATAATGACTGGCCTCCCATGTGCAGTCGTAGATGGGCACAGTGGTGGTAAACGTGGTCATGTGCACTGGGGTGCCCTGCGACTCGCAAGCTGGGGGTATAGAGCTGAAGCTGCTGGCATTGGACTGGCGGTTTTCGGGTTCCAGCCACTGGCGGAGGACTAGGCATGGGTTTCAAGACCAACCACAGGTATCGGATGTCGATGAACTGGAGTTTGGTCCCTTTATTCAAAGTATACGAGGACCCAGAGAAAAGCATCCTCAATTCTAGGTCATGCACGACAAGGCTTGGGGCTCGGGGCGCTGAGAGCGCGCCACTAACTAAGTAGTTGAATGCTGCACGCAGGGCTCCGTACAATTGATAGTGAACCTGAAAGCCCTAAACCCTAAACCCCAAACTCTACAGAAAAGCCAGAAATGCCAGAGACACAAAGGAGACTTGGGGCCCCGTCCAAAGCCATCTCGTAGATGCAGGTGCCCTGAGATGATCGCTTCCTCAGCTGGCTGAATATTCCCTGAATTATGCACGTTTATGTATGTATGTATGTATGTATGTATGTATGTACGTATGTATGTATGTATGTATGTATGTATGTATCCATGCATGCATGCATGCATGCATGTGTATGTACATATATATATATATGTATACATAATTACATATAATTCTGATATGGTGTACTGCAGTATACTGCAGTATAATATAGATAGATAGATAGATAGATAGATAGATAGATAGATAGACAGACAGACAGACAGACAGACAGACAGATGGGCAGATGGATAGATGGATAGATGGATAGATAAATAGATAGATAGGTAGATAGGTAGGTAGATAGGTAGGTAGGTAGGTAGGTAGGTAGGTAGGTAGGTAAATACATAGATGGATAGTTAGGTAGGTACATAGATAGGTAGATAGATACTTGCATAGATAGATGGATAGATTAACAGATAAATAGATAGAGATATAGACAGACAGACAGACAGACAGACAGACAGACAGACAGACAGACAGACAGACAGACAGACAGACAGACAGATAGATAGGGGAGCGATTCTGATTTAAGGTATACATTCCCCACATATGCAGGGGCTCTTCTATGTCCTGTGTACTCTGGGTTTAGGGGTTTAGGCGTTATAGGATCTGGGTTTAGGGGTTTAGGGTTTAGGGTCTAGGTCCTCAGAGCTTCAGAGTTTGGACTGATGGGGCCCAGGGCTTAAGACCCAGGGTCTCGGGTACAGGGACGAGAACTCTAGAAGGGGTAGAGGAGAACCGAAAAAGGGCTTCCGACAAGCTTGTCTTGATCTCCAAAACACGACACCAATTCAGAGAATATACCCTAATAAACCCTAAACTTCCCTAAACCCTAAACTCAAACTAAAGACCGCAAACTGCATTCAGCAGCCCAGCGGCAACGTAGGGCCGGCTCCGATCAGGTGGAACTGAGCGGTTCTTGAAGTCATTGTGTCTGTACGATTCGGATTTGGGGTTTGGGAGTTGGGGTGTTGGGGGTCATTTCGGTCGGTGTTGCCCCCCAAGCCCGCCATAAATCCTGAAACCCTCCAGTGAAAACTGCAGCATCACATAGACATACAGGTCACAAGCTCAGCGCCAGCCCACGACCAAACGCCGTCTACAGTACTCCACGGAGGATAAACCCTAAACCCTAAA